GATAAAAATCAAGAAATAGGTGGAAGGGATATTTTTAAATGCCATTGATGCCCTTAATGAAGTTAGAGATGATCAGACAACTAAAACTTGAAAAAAGAATAAAAGAAAAATAAAAGAAAAACTCACCACGCAAGGAGCTTGAAGCTATCCAAAAAAGTTGGAATTTCATTGGAATAGAAACTCTTAATTCTCATGGTAACTCTCTCTCCCTCGTCATCTTTTTGAAATGGTTTTTCTCACAAATTATACACAAGAAACCATCAACTTGAACTACATGTAGTAAACTTTGCAAATTCTAAATCGATTTGAACATATTTGCAAAATCAAACCCACTTCCTTTCTTACCTTCTCTTTCATCCAATACAAAAGATTCATAACCTCAACTCCATAAGTCAACTGAAAAACAGACTCACAGACCCATCAACAAATTCAACAAACCATCAACAACCTGTCTTACCTTATGATTAACCTTCTTTAAGTACCCGAATCCTTTCTCTTTATCCTCAATAAAAACGACTCTCTGATTATTATCAACAAGCGGATTCTATCTTTATTCATCACCATTGTTAGCTATGGGTAGCAAATTTGACTTCTAAACAAGGTTTCAAGACAAAAGATAATAAATTTGTAATTGTCGGTACTTATGATTGGATTTGTAACTGGCTTCTTTTTAATCGTTTTGATTTTGATGTTTTTATGTAGAAAGAAGGGTTGTTGTCAATCTTCTTATATTTATGCTTTTTGCCCATTGGATTTTGTTGTTCTTGTTTTTTTATGAACTGGCTGGTGGTGATGGTGGTGTACGCGATGGTGAGGATTTTGAAAGGAGGTTAACGGAAGGAAGAGACAAGATTGCAACTAAAGTCTTCATTTAAGTTCTAAATAATAGGAGGTAAAATATTTAAGGGCAGTTAAGTCTTTTTACCTATTTTAACCTCAAAAACACAAGAAAATAGACGGAAGGACTATTCTGTGAGACAGAGGTAAACCTCAAGGGCATCTTAAATATTTATATAAAAGTTAGAGACTACTTAATTAATTATGACAAATGTTAGTGACAAAATAATTATTTTCCCTTTTCTTAATCGAATTTATGATTTGGCGCATTTGAAAATCTATAATTAACCTATAGTGAAACATATAAATCCACCCTTATACTTTACGTGAAACATCTTGTAGTATTCTAAACCAGTATTTTGAAAATTGGACTCAACCGGTTGGTCTGATCAATTAACTCATGAACCAATTTTTGGTCTGGTCCGATTTTTTGTTGCAAACCAAACAACTTTAATTTTAAACAAAAAAATAAAATTTTCACTATAAACTAGTATTGGATGAATGAACTCAACTAGCTAGTCGAACCGGCTAAATTGAAAACTGGCTGACTGTCTGGTTTGATTATAACATTGACTCAAATTTTGGAAAAATCAGATTCTTTATAAAACCAGAAAAATCTTTTTTTTTTTTTTTGGTAAAAGTAATATTTTTGTTCATTTAAAAAAAAGGTGTTATTTTTATATGTATTTGGTATGGTTTTGTGTGTTTGATGAACTTAAAATTGACCTTTCAACTTGGATTAAACAATGTGATTTGAATTTATGAATGTTGAATTATTATTTGGTTTTAAGTTTGAAAATTAATAGTTAAAATCTTTGTATTTATATATTCTCTCCGTTATATTTTGTTTGCATAGTTTTACAAAATACGCATATTAAAAATTTAGTCAACAAAAATTATTTTACATTTTTTACCATTAACTAATTAAGATACTAATAAAAGTTTTTTATTTAACGAACAATCATAAAGGTTAGGAATGACCCTGAACTTGAATATTATGTTCAAATTGCCCAGCATTAAACTTTTGGGCAAAAAATCTCCAAAACTTCCTATTTTAAGTTCATTTTGACCATTTTATTTGAAGGTCAGTGCACGTGCTTACCTATCATCATAAAAACGCGTGGTTACTCATCATCACATAAGTCGTGGTCAACCTAGCCTCCTAATCATCCTAAAATTCCATAGACACATCAACTTGTGCAGTCAATAGATCAAGGAGGTAGCATTTCAAGCATAGAAACTGAAAAAAAAAAAAACAGAGCTTCAATGTAGAACTGCAGAATTGCCATAGAGGAAGACAAGCAATCTCAGACCAATGTTGCAGCCGATCAAACTTGTTTGGAAGCCTCAAGCAATAACTTATAGCATGAGATATTTGGAGTCATTTTGTTTTTGTTTAGTTTCTTTACTGTCGTAGGATTTCTTTTTTATCAAACGTATATTGATAAAATATTATTGATTTCCTATCTTAAAAGATTATAGCAGTCAAGCATTGCATGCATGTACTTGACCACCATACTTTTGGCTTGGATATGGTTAAAGAGCATGGCATTATGTCACGTGACCCTTAATTATTTCTTTTATTAAATTTGAATAAGTCTGCTAAAGATCTCTGCTTTGATTTTAGTTGCTGTAAAATAGCAGAGTTTATTTCCTTGTAATCAGTTGAGTTGTTAGCTTGCTTTGACTATTTAAGCTTAATGAATAACAGACCCAAGGCGTCGGTTAAATCATCAAAATACGTTTCTAACGTAGAGGCCTTGGTTTCCTCCATAAAACCTTCTTCTTATTATTTTCTTTTCTTTCATTAAACCCAGCATAGGTTCAAGGGGTAGAAAGCAGTTTGTACCACATTATCTGTGTACAAATGCTATTATCTTTTGTCTTTTTGTGGCCTTCATTTATTAATTATTTTACTTCTTCATGTATTTGGACAATCTAAGTATGTTTAGAGAGGCTAATTTGCTTTCCTTATTTGTTCTTTTCCCTCTTTAATTGTATTTCAGATTATAAAATTTTCATCTCCAATATCTCTGTGGGATCTGATTGCATTATCCTGGTTGTAATTGGATTGAACAATGGTTTATGAAAATTTGAAACTAGATAATGTATACATTTGTTGGCAGAGAGTTGTTGTTACTTATTGTATTGTATATTGGTGTCCATATTGTAGGATGCTATTTTAAATTCAAATTTATAAAAATTCATTTTACAAATATTTTGCGTACCAACGCTGATAAATAAATATCCAGATTAGTTGTTAATAGTTAGATTTGTTTATTTCAAATTTATAAATGAAATGTAAATGTGTTATTTCAATGTTTCATCTTACTTTTCCTTCCTATTTTAATAGCAAAGTATCTGCAGATTGTTCAATATCCACAAAAAAAAGTTCTACTCCCAAAGCAAAAACAAGAACTAAAAGATGAACACAAAATATCATTCACATATGAAACAAAAAACATTGTCAAAAGTACTCAAATGCTAACAAGAAGCACAATTCCTTTATCTTAACTAACTCGTACTCCTTCTTTTGTTCTCTCAAATTCCATTAACAAGGATTCTGGTGCACCATCAGCTGCACTTGAGATGGGATAAGAACTAGCAATCTACTTTGTTGTCTACCACTCTGCCTCTACAACTATTGAATGGATAAGTTAAACTATCACTCAAAGTAATCACATCCCTTTGGCTAAAAAACCAATAACCGATTATTGTTATTCTCCTTCATGGAGGTAGAAGATAACAGAGAATAGAATTATGAACAAGTCAATCAATTCAAATTAAAACGAAACCACAATCAAGTTATAATATCGCACCGCTTTCTCGTACTCATAATCTGGCTGAGAAATATGGAGGCATCAAGAGGTTGCTGAGGTCGAATTTCTAGGAGAGCTAATTCTTCCTATGAAGCTAGGTTGTAATAAGGAAACTGTCGTTTTGGAATATTAATTTATTAAGCCTCTTTTTTAAGACAACCATTATCTTTTTATTAAGAAAAGAGAATTTAATAATTATAAAAAAAATGAAAAAAAAATTTAAAGAAAATTTTGGTTGACGTCGTCATGCACACGTTGGTGTTTCAACGACTAACGTGGGCAAAGTGAACCTTAAATGATAAATTTTGGAGTTTTTTAGTTCAAAAGTTCAATTCTGGGCATTTTGTACATTTGCTCCAAATTTAGGGGCTAAAATGACATTTTTTCCAATTGGTTATTAAGGGAAAAATAATTGTTCATATATTTAAATTTAAAAATCTTGCAAATATTTTGGGCTCATCCAAAAAAGGAATAATAAGCAAACAAAATGGGACCAATAGAATATATTATTTTGTTATATGAGATGAATATTTGATGGTAATGAAATATTATATATGTTAATTATTGTGAAAATAATTTCTATTGCACTTAAAACATGTATATATGATGTGTGTATATAATATTATAAATTAAAAATTAAAAAAAATAGAAAACCCATTTGAATTGGCCTAATTTGGTCTGACCGTGATCCAGTCATAACGCTAGTTCAATTATCATTTTGGTTATGATAATATTGCTATAAACTAAGTGGATCGAGTGGTTAAGGCACCTAAAAAATCTGGTATCCGGTCTAATTGCGATCCACTCATCAAGCCAATTCAATGTCTATTTCGGTTTGAAAAATATTGTTCTAAACTTATTATCAGACCTACTGCGCATCCTAAACTCTGAATTTTGGCAATACCGCGCATCTTTTCCACACTAATGATAATAGTTTTTAACTACTTTTTACTCTTATATGCAAAATGTTGAAATGACGTATGGTTATTATGATTTTTAGAATAATAATTTTTACATTTTTCAACTATCTTATAAATATTTAATCAATCTATTTACACAAGTTAAGTTAAAATGTTTAATAGAAAATTTTTATAAATTGAAATATTTAATATATATAATTTTATTAATTAAAATGTTAAATATATTAGTATAAAAGTTCAAAGTATCAAAAAAGAGAAGGGTGGACTTGCACAAGAAGGGATAGCATGGTCTATTCCATAGGACTTGTTACTCTGTTATGGTTCTTAATGCATTCTCCGGTTTGCTTTAAAAAACAAATCACTACCAAATTTGATGCGGTAGGTATGATAAGTTCTTTTATTTCCCATTAAAAATTTATTTCGTCCGAATAAATGAAAGGAATCAGGAGAGAGGGGAAGTTAAAATACATAACGTGCCTTGCTTTGGTCTGCGCAAAGAAGGACGACATAGATTTCTCATCCATTCTCATTTCCTTTACCACAAACACAAAAATTAGAATACCGTAATAAAGAAAAAGATCAAATCTATCAGTTTTTACAGAATACCGTATCAGAATATCACCTCTCTCTCTCTCTCTCTCTCTGATTTGCTATATACAATACAGCAAAAAATGGCTACTCCAGGTAAGCTAAAGACCTCGAGCTCTGAATTGGACTTGGATCGACCCAATATCGAAGACTACCTTCCTTCTGGAGTCTCTATTCAAGAACCTCGTGGCAAGCTTCGTCTGTAAACGCCTGTCTCTAATTTTTCCTATTCGACTTTCTGTTTTCCCTGGCTTGCTCGGCTACCAAACACAGCTCGCTTATTGAGTTTTTTTTTTTCCTATTTTTGCTGATTTTTATAGGCGTGATTTGCTTGACATTTCGCCGACCCTAACGGAGGCTGCTGGTGCCATTGTTGATGTGAGTTAATTGTGCGTTTTTTTATTAGATATTGTTGTGTATAGGAATATTGTTTGGTTCTCGATAAAATGAGTCCAGGATACTCTTTATTGAATGGGAAAATAAAATGATTCTAGCTCAATTAATGTTATTGTCTCATGACTGGAAGTTCTCAATCTTGGCAGAATAGCTAAAGAATTACGAACAGAAAGTGAATTGATATTTTTTTGTTAAATTTATTTTAACAGATTTTGGTTTTGTTAGTGTAATTTTCCTTTTGAGTTAAACTAAAACAATTGATTGGCAAGATATTTTTATCTGAAAATGAATATTTTTGACATTTCTTTATGCAAAACTTTATTCAACTCAATTAGATCAAATGAGGGTTGGCTAAAGAGATCATTTTACTCTATTTAATTCAGTTTAGATTGTATTGTAAATTGTTTTTTGAAAACACAACATAAGAGGAGCTTAATAGCATTATTTTTTTTAATGTTGGACTAAATTGTTCTTCGTCTCCCCATTTCAATTACTGATTTTGAACAGGACACCTTTACAAGGTGTTTCAAGTCAAATCCTCCAGAACCATGGAATTGGAACATATATCTATTTCCCCTTTGGTGCTGCGGTGTGGTGTGTCGATATGGGATTTTGTTTCCCATCAGGTTAGCATTCTACTCCCACACAATTAATTGACGAGATGCTTTCTGTGGACTGAGGCTGTTCTCTTGTGCCAAATTAAGCCAATTTTAGCGTCTATGGACTCCTTATTTAATGGAATTTTGAGATATCATTACAAAGAAATGATTGGGTTCTCTTTCGCCTCTGTTTTAAAATTGGGCATCCATAAAATACTTTGGTTTTGATGACGATTTACCTTAGGATGAGTTGTCACATTAATGAACTGTTTTATTTTTGCTTTCTGATGTTATATCAATTACATCTGCAGGGTTCTAGTACTGACAATAGGGTGGATAATTTTCCTTTCATGCTACATTCCTGTGCATTTCCTACTTAAAGGACATGACAAGTTGAGAAAAAAGCTTGAGGTACCAATAATTAATTTACTTAAAGTTCTTGCTTTGCCTCATTTTCTTAGTTCAAAATCATACTTTCTTTCTGGGCATTTGAAACCCTATTTGCGAATAGAAGTGACTGCTGGAAAGTTGGGAAAGCCTGGTTTTCTGCATGTTTAGAAGTTCTGATGTTCATCCTTTTTAGATTTTGTTGCCTTTTTTGGGTTAGATTAACATGATGAGTGGACTTTACTTTCCATGCTATCTTTTGGAAGTCCATTCTTTTGCAATGTTAGAATTTTGTGCGTATTTCTTCAAGGAAACGGGCTGTACTTCCTTGGCAAGAGGATTGAGCCATTGGATTTATGTTATATGTGCTGGAAACTGCTAATATTACGCTAATAACCCAAACTATGACTCCAGTCCTATTGAAAGTTGCCCATTTTCCTCCTTCCAGACAAATCATGATATCCAAAGAGGACTACATAGTTTATTAGACAATTGAACTTAATGGAGATGGAAAATATTGGGCCTAATCATGTTCATATCATATTCTTCCAAGCTTACTGAAATATAGATGAATTGAAATAAGCTTACATGCTAATCTTGATAGTTTTCTTTCTCCTCCCAGAGATGTTTGGTGGAGTTAATTTGCAGCTTCTTTGTGGCATCATGGACCGGAGTTGTCAAGTACCATGGTCCACGGCCTAGCATCCGACCTAAACAGGTCCATTTGAGTATTATTTTTTCTTATTTGGATGCCAGCTCACAATTCATTGAATGCATGTTTATGTTTTGATTTGTTATGGTAATTGTGAGCTAATAATATGCATTTCTTTGAAATTAACCAGAATATGTTTATTATGGATTAAGCAGGTTTTTGTGGCCAATCATACCTCCATGATTGATTTTATCATCTTGGAACAGATGACTGCATTTGCTGTTATTATGCAGAAGCATCCTGGATGGGTTGGTAAGTGATTAATGGCTTAATTTATGACTTAAATGGTTGAAACCATGCTTTTTCATTAATGACTTTGTCAAGCGTGTTTTAATAAAAAATTTTGAAGTGCCCCCTTAATCGTGTTCAACTGATGAAATCTATCAAGTAGTTCTGTTCTTTATATTAGTTTTTGAAAGAGTCGGTAATAGAATTTCATTGAATAATTTGTGCATTTATTTCTGAAATTATGAAATTTAGACCACCAACTTCTGTACAAGCTATTGTTTTTTGAACCAAACTAAGCAGCAACAGATCTAAGACGATGGGAAGTTGTGATAACTTTCTGCATACGTTAAATAGACAGAATGAAATAAGATCAGTTTTATTTTTCTCTTTATGTAGGACTACTGCAAAGCACTATATTAGAGAGTGTCGGATGTATCTGGTTCAATCGTTCAGAGGCAAAGGATCGTGAAATTGTAACAAAAAAGTAAGTTTAAATGCAGTAGGCAGAATTTCATTAATGCAATTGTATGTGCATTATGATCATAAAAATACACATGTTTCAGGTTAAGGGATCATGTTCAGGGGGCTGACAATAACCCTCTTCTCATATTTCCTGAAGGAACTTGTGTAAATAATCACTATACTGTAATGTTCAAGAAGGTACTGGAAATTGGATATAAAATTTATTCGTCCTTTCAGCTTTCTGTGCTTATTGTTGTGATTGACTTTTCTTTTCTTTGTGATGCATAGGGTGCATTCGAACTGGGATGTACTGTTTGTCCAATTGCAATCAAATACAACAAAATTTTTGTTGATGCTTTTTGGAACAGCCGGAAGTAATGATCTTCATTTTATAATGTTGATATCTATTTTATTCACTTCTTTCCAGAGTCATGCTTGCTCATTTTGCTGCTTTATGCTTTTCAAAGACTGATTTCTGCAACAAAAAAGCTCTTATGGAAATAGAAATGCTTTTATACTGGTCAGCCTCAAAAGGTTGCTTTGGCCATCAGTAAGATATTTGGTCTCTTTTTAATATGGATCTACCTTTTTCTGGGTTCCTAACCTCAATGCTTTTATCATATATTTAAGTTTAGGAACCATGCAATGAGACAAAATCCAGTAAGTTGTATAGGATATTCATTCACTCGTCCAAGCCAATGAAAATGAGCAGTACACAAACACAATCACTGACCTCCACGTATCAGCCTTACAAAAATGATTCTATACCTGTGATGTGAGATAATATGTTGTCAGTGTTAACCTTTCGTTATTCATGTTACGGTTACTTAAGAATGATTGCGTGTATTTCTCTCTAATTTAAGCTAAAGTATCAGGTGTATCTTATTGGTCATTTCATTTATTATACATGTCATCAAGATTCGGTTAATTTGTTCTTGATAATATCAGTGAATGCTACTCTTACATGTCTCTTTTGCAGGCAGTCATTTACAATGCATTTGCTGCAACTCATGACTTCCTGGGCTGTTGTTTGTGATGTATGGTACTTGGAGCCACAAAATCTGAAACCTGGAGAGACACCCATTGAGTTTGCTGAGAGGTAAATCACTCAGATCTCAAGTTATTATCTGCAACTGTTGATAGGTTGCATCATCTTTCTGTTCAGAGAAATGTCTTTGGTAAAATCTTCATCATATAATGGCTTTGTTTTAATTTGAATACTCTAATGCAGGGTCAGGGACATAATATCTGTACGAGCAGGTCTCAAAAAGGTTCCTTGGGATGGATATCTAAAGTATTCTCGCCCTAGCCCAAAGCATAGAGAGCGAAAGTAAGTAAAACACTTCTCTCTGCCTTTTATACCTTCCACCATCTCTGCGTTAATTTCCGGACTTTTTAGAAGACTACCATATAATTACTCATCCTTCCTGTCTCTAGGTTTATATAGGTATGGAATTTCTGTAAGCAGTTCTCTCTTTGTGTCGTTTTCATACATAAACCAGCACATCATAATATGGCTCTCCCTGGTCAGTTTTTACGGCTTTTTTTGCCGATACTGCCACTGCCCAGCTGATAGTGAGTCTCTAAGACATAGGTCCATATATAGTTCCTGTTGAGAGATTCTCGATTTATATGTGGAATCTACAATATGTATACCTAAATTCAGGCCTAAATAGTCATTGTGTGGCCTCACTGCCATATAATTTTTATTTAGGCTATTTATTCGGTTGGTTCTGTCAGTTAATGCTAGCTTTTCTAACTGAACCAAAATAAATGAACTGAACTAAAATTTTCAAGACCAAACTAAATCAAAAATCACCTTCAAGAAATTTCACTGAGAGCAGAGATAATTAATTTGTTTGACATCATCAATCAAAAGATGTGAAATCTTTCATCGGAGTTTGGAAGGTGCAGGTGGGAATAGAAAAATAGGAAGAGAGTGGAAAATTAAATTGTAGAGAATACATAAAAAGAAAAAAAAAAGATTTAAAGGCGGCGCTGGAATTTCAACTATTACACAAAATTTGTCCCAGTCTATCAATTAGAGTGAGCACTGATTCTTTATTAAGAAGTAACAACCACAATATCTTGTGGTGCTCATTGGAATAGCAGCTTGCAGTTATTTTAGGAACTGACAAAATTGACATGTTATAACGTAACTGACTTAGAGAAATATATCCACAAGACAAAAGTCCCCAATTCGTTTCATTCAGTTACTCTGTACCTTGTGCAAATGAGATTCATGGAAAACAAGAGCTTGACAACTTCAATTCATAACAGTCAAATGAAATCCTGAACATCAGCAATGATCAAATCAAAGCCTAATCTCTCTGAGACCAAGTGTCTATTTTGATGTATTGTAATTGCAATACAATTAAGACCTCTTCACACTTCAATTTGGCTGTCACACAGACAGTGAGCGGACATTATAAGATGGATATTGATTTTATTGTACATGAATAGAAAATCATCGATCGGCTAGCTTACTTAGAAGGATGAAAATATGAAAAATGATAAAACAGTCTGGATTGAAAATTGGTTTAGTTGGTCCATGCTGTACTAAAATGTCAAAAGTAAACTTCCCAACAAACCAAATAGACTGAAAGTATGTCTGGTGCAATAATTCAGTTTTAATTAAACAATTTTTGCTCATAACTTCATATTATTGAATTCAAGCTTTTACTGCACTGGATGTTCTCTAGTTAGAAGGTTGGAATTAAGAAAAATTTCCCAAATTCATCTATATTAACAAAATACCTTGTAAAATTCTATGTACATGATTTTGCTCTTTGGTAGGGTTGTTAGCACCTAGCAGAGTTTGTTATATGATATTGTGACTTTTTGTATTATATTCCTCTTACTCTGTCATCTTCTAATTGCAACATAATTTATGACTCATCCTTGCAACTGTCCTAAATTTTGGACATAATAGAAACTTATTTGAAATAATTAATTTTTGAACTGGTTTCCCAACCTAAAAATTAAATTGAATATCATAATCTCCATATTGAATAATCTCCATATTGTATGTCAGGCAACAAAGCTTTGCTGAGTCAGTGCTGCAGCGACTGGAGGAGAAATGATGGTGTATGTTTGTGCTTAGTCATTGTTAGTTGTACTTAACCCAAGTAGGGGTCATGGTTGTGCACGAGACATCCTTTTTCAGATACAGACTTCGATCTTTAGCAACGGTCAAAGTTGTGGGCATGAAAACAGAAGCAAATGTTTAAGGAAATTCAATGTTACAACTGTAATGTTATAGGTTTTACTTTCACAAGTACAATATAATGCTATGAAAAAGCTTGATTCAATTTTGTGCAGAAAAGTTCTGGTTGCACGACTTTTTCAAGACATGATACACAAAAATTCATTGAAGACTATGGATTTATGAGTCAGATGCCAAGGTAAACATTTAGGCGTTGTGCATAATCTGAATTGTTAAGATGTAAAGAATTCGATCTGAAGATGCATCTAACTTACCAATGATGTGATCATGCATATTCTAGATTAGTGCCTCTTGAGGTGTTGCTTAGCATGGTTTTATAACATCCTTTCTTGTATGAGGTTTTGGCATGGGTAGTAGAAAAATGAGCTGACTGCAATTGACTGTGTAAAAGACTTGGTCAACAGAGTGGTTGGTGGTTATTTTCTTTTTGTTTGGTACATTGGATGCAAGAGGTTGTTAGGGTAAGACATTTTGTATTACAGTTCAGATACTCTGACCATTAGCGACAGATTGATGCTTAAAATGCCAAAATAAATTGTTAGTCGAGACTTTAATTAGGTGGAGCTAGTTTGTTTTTGGTTTTGGATATTCCAATTAATGATTGACACGGCAATCAGATTTTTGGGTCTGGTACGTAGTTTTCATTCAGAGTATCCAATTAATGATTTTTGGGTCTGGATATTTAAGACATCTTCATGTTTGGGGTTGCCCAGCAGAAGTCTGGATATATAATCAACATGAAAAGAAGCTTGATGCTAGAACGGTTAGTGGATTTTTCATAGGATATCCTGAAAAGTCAAAAGGGTACAGATTTTATTATCCTAACCATGGTACGAGAATTGTAAAGTCTGGTAATGCTCAGTTTATTGAAAATAGCCAAATTAGTGGGAGCAGTGAACCACGTAAAGTGAATGTGCAAGAGATTCAGATTAAAAATCCAACTCAGGTGGATTTTCCTAATGTCTCTTCTTCGGTTGTTGTTCCACTTGTTGTATCACGGTTTAACAACATGGTTGAACAATAAAACAAATAAATGATGAACCAGTAAATAATGAACAATTCATGAATGATCAAGTGGTTTCACAAGAAATAGCATTACGGAGGTCACAAGGACAAAGAATGCCAGCTATTTCTAGTGATTATGTGGTTTACTCACTTGAGCATGAATGTGAATTGAGCATTGATAAGGATCCATTCTCTTTCCAGAAAGCCATGGAATGTGATAATTCTGAAAAATGATTTAATGCCATGAAGGAAGAAATGCAATCAATGAGTAATAATCAAGTCTGGGATTTAGTCGAGTTGCCTGAAGGGTTAAAACAAGTTGGTTGTAAATGGTTTTTCAAGACCAAATGGGACTCTAAGGACAACATTGAAAGATATAAGGCCAGACTTGTTACTAAGGTTATACTCAGAAGGATGACATTGATTATAAAGAGACCTTTTCTCCAGTTTCCAAAAAAGACTCTTTAAGAATTATTTTTGCTTTGGTAGCTCATTATGATCTAGAGCTTCACCAAATGGATGTAAAGACAGCCTTTCTTAATGGTGACTTAGAGGAGGAAGTGTATATGGACCAACCAGAGGGGTAGCAAGCCTTCCCGTCAATGGTATCTTACGGTTAATAATACTATCCACTTATATGTATATAGAAAACCTATGACGATGTAATATTAAGTCGGATGCAAGTTATCATGTATCCTATATGTTGATGACATTCTTCTTGCTGCGACTTGTGATGAAAGGGTTTTCTCTCTAAGAACTTTAAAATGAAAGATATGGGAGAGGCATCCTTTATGATAGGAATAGAAATATTTCGTGATAGATCACAAGGACTGTTAGGATTGTCTCAAAGAGCATACATTAATAAGGTATTAGAGAGATTCAGAATGGAAAAATGCTCTATAGGAATAGTTCCAATTTAGAAAGGAGATAGGTTCAGCGAACTGCAGTGTCCTAAAAATGATTTGGAATGTAAAGAGATGGAGCCTATTCCTTATGCGTCATTAGTTGGGAGGTTAACGTATGTTCAAACATGTACTCGACCGGATATTAGTATCACCGTCGGAATGTTAGGGCGATATCAAAGTAATTATGGGATGGACCATTGGAAAGCTGTAAAGAAAGTACTTGGATATTTACAAGGCACTAAGGATCATATACTCACTTATAGAAAGTCTAGCCATCTAGAAGTGGTGGGATACTCGGATTCAGACTATGCCGTATCCAATGGAAGAAGTTGGCAAGTAGTCCCTTGTCATTGCACTTCCGACGATTGGACTGATGGAGGCTGAATTTGTGGCATGCTTTGAGGCCACTATTCATGCATTGTGGTTGCGGAACTTTGTCTCAGGTCTAGGCATTGTCAACAGTATAGATAGACCGTTGAGAATTTATTGTGATAATTCCGCAGTTATCTTCTTCTCTAAGAATGATAAGTACTCAAAGGGTGCAAAGCACATGGATTTAAAGTACCTATCTGTGAAAGAAAAAGTGCAAAAACAAAGGTGTCAATTGAGCATATCGGTACTGATTTTATGATAGCGCATCCGCCAACTAAGGGCTTGCCGCCCAAAATCTTCACTGGCCATGTTGATAGGATGGTCATTATAGATAAGTCCTTATTAGCATGATGTTTAAACTTATATAAGCTTACTATACTATATATACTAAATATATAATATACTATAATATATTTATAACATATGTTATGTGCTCATATTATTGTGGACAATTGGAACCAATAAAGATTTGATTTCTTAATTTATTTATTATCACATTATAATTAAATGATTTGATGTAAAACAACACATTATGAACATGATTTTTTGCATGAAATAGGTTCTCCAAATTAAAAGTTATGGAATTGAGGTTTATATATGGAAGAATCAAGTCGATTAATGGATTAATGACCACCATATCCGATCATCTACAAATAAGTAACATATAGATAAGAAATGCACAAAGGCAATGGAGATTAGTGATTATTTTCATAATCTCGGAACCATAATTTGATTAAAGGTTGTTCTAATAAAGTTGGCCCAATATGTTTATCAGCTAATGGAGATAAGGACCAGTTAGAGTTTTTAATACCCATTCCTTCTGCCTTAAAAAAAAAAAGAATCAAATAGCTGAGTTTAGAAAAGAAAAAGAGAGTTGGACGGCTACCTCAAACAAAATAACTGTATAGATTGTTTGAAGAGAGACGCTGAAAGAAAAACTCCTCGTGCTGTTTGATAATTCTCTGACCAATTAAAAAACCAACTTACGATAACACACAGGCCAGAGTGAAGAACACATAGATCGCTTTAACTGTGAGAATCGATATGCCCGCCAGAGTGAAGAAACATAGATCTGCTGTTACGGTGAGAATCGAATTGCCGCAACGAGGTAATCAATAGCTATGGATCAAGGTACGCTTCCGCTTATTGTCTCTTCTTATTAAACAAATTCTATGAACTATAAGATCTAGGCTATATTAAAGTTTATTCAACACATATTTATATTATCCAGAAGATGATTTATAGCAACTTTTTAGAAAGACAACTAGCGCACCTTTTAAACAAAAAGACCACATTTAGGGGTTCTACTAAATGTCATTTCTCCTTTAATGCATATGAAACTACTCTCACATATTTGTTATGTTCGCAATAGGATGTTGCACTGTTGTTGCTGCTTGTTGCACTGTTGTTGCTGCTTCCTTCACTATGTCTGCATTCACTTCAATTACAGTAGGCAAAGTACCATTTCTTATAAAACTAAGCTTCGACATGTGGTGAATTTTGTAATTGTTCCCTCCAGAACATTTCAATACTTCAACCATACACATCTGCAAAGTCAAAAACACTTTGTTTACGTCAGTTGAAGGAAAAACATCAAAAGCTTTAATAACTGCTGAAACCAATTCTTCTATGTTGGTAGGAGCCTCTTGATGTTTTATTGAATCAATCGCTCTAAAAAAAACCAAGGTCCAAGAGATTCAAGTCTGGACTATTAGGAGGTTGGCTTATCAAACGTATATTTAGACCATGTTCATTTGCAACATTTGCAAACTCAGCATCTCCATCAATTATATGTGGCCTAGCAATATCCTATTGAATAAATACTATATTAGAAGTGTTCGTTGGCCATTTTTCTTTGATTGAAGGCAGTAAGTTTTTTATAAGGCAATCACGAATAACTTCCTTTGTGATTGACAGAATACGTTTGATGTCCATTGTGCCGCTACACGATTCTTACTGTTTTTTTTTAGCAGGAACAGTGTATATGAATGTCCCAATTCCTATGTTACTGTCAAATTGAATCTAAGAATTAGAATCAAATATAAGGCGTGCAACTGGAGCAAGAAACATGATCTTTGGAATGAATCTTTTGCTCTTACGTGTGCGTGCAGGTAGTGTCTCATCAGGCAAAAGATAAAATTTTTGAGTTTCATTGCACATAAAAAACCACTTCTCATCTATGTGTATTATGTCATGCATGTGGATAAAGGATGGATTGCTAGTGGTTGTACCTGTATCAATCATAGACAAGCAAAATTCAACTCTTATTATTTTTTTTTTTTTGTTCTCTTCCTTCAGTAGTGGCTTGATTACATTCGAGCGTGGCTTAATGTCCACTCTTTTTAACATTCTGTGCACAATTGTTAAAAATACGCCCAGTTTATATGCTAATGACCATTGGTTCATCCGATGTGTAAGCGGTATTTCTTTAATTTTATCCGCTGGAATTACAACACGCTTCATACCATTCATCCCATTTGCAGCTAGTGCACCATTCTATGCAATATGTCAAATTTTGTAAACTGACCTTTTTGAAATGGACATTGTTGCGCAACTTTCTCGATAGAGCGCGAATTTAATGGCCCTTCTCGCATTTCAGAAAGAAGCACGTTGTTCACTAAATTTTTTGTTTCTTCTGTCAACTTCTTTTTCTTGGCTCCCTTCTTTGTACCAGCAACCACGCCAGAAGGGCATTGTGTGAATTCAAGCTCGTTATCATGAGTCGTGGATTGTATATTTTCTTCTGCATTTAAATCGTGCAACTCCAAGGGATCAACAGTCGGAGTGAGCACATTTTCTGAAGTTGTGAATGAATACGGAGGTTGTAGATTCAGATCAAATGGATGCGACATTGTTGAAGGGAA